TGACTGCTCTGTGCTTGTTGTCCACACTCGGCCTGGACAGCTGCAGAGAAGTGTACTTTAGGTAAACACACAGGAATCCTGTTTTAAAAGTTCCTACACTGCAATTTGTTGGAGAATAGGAGAGCATCTGAGGGAAGCGTGACTGTTTCTCCTGCTTTCATATTCTTTGTCAAGCAATGACTTGGGCCACCCTTCAAAATAGGATGCCGAGCTCACCTTGGTGTATGTTTTTGCCCAGGAAAAATTAGAGGTATACGTTGTGTCCTTCATAAAGGTCACACTCCCAAAAACACCTAATGGAGTTTGTACAGTGATGCACATTCTGTGGTTCCACAGTAGAAAGAGGGAAAAGCTACTATAAGAAAACAAAAGAAAAAGATTCAGTGGAGGGTTAAAGTGACATGATCAAGTGGGGAAATTGGAGACTAGAGAGTGGAACTGCAAAGCAAAACGTTCCTGTGCCAAGAGTGACCAACCAGGCTGTGAGAAAGTAAAGAAGATATCACAAGAAAAGTACTATGCTGCCAGGAAAAAGGAAAGATGGGGAAAATGGAGCAACCTGCTAGGCTTTAAAAACAGAAGACAATTTTCAGAAGGCATTTCTTGGGCAGTTTTGGGATACAGTTCCCTATACAGCTCACTCTCCACTGATACCTGGCAAAGTCCTGCTCCCACTGTCTCTGCCTCATTTTCCCTTGCTTCTGGTACTTGGTGCTGAAAAAAAAAAAAATCAGGCTAGTTTGTGCAAAGGATCAGTTTTGGCCAAGCATCCAGAGCATTCATTAGAATGCAAAAGATCTAGCCCCACCTCTGCTGTGGTGCATGCTGTTTCCTTACCAATCTTTCATCTCTCTATTCAGTTTTAAATTGCCTAGGACAGAGCTCTCCTCTATGCCCAGAACTATCTTTGCTGGATCCTGCACAGTCTGGGCAGACAAAGACATTTTAGCACCACAAAGCAGTCATAAGTCACTGCACTGTATAATTGCTTTTAACTCTGTGCAGTCTGAAACCAATTCTCCTAGGTCCTGCTGCTGGCAGAAAACACCCTGCTGTTGAACATGCATCTGATTACAGTGCTGCTCAGCCAAATATTCTTCATGGTTTCTACAGATGTTCCTTTTTTTTTTTACTCCATAGCTATGAACATTATGAGCTGATGCTCTCTTCACCTGCCACGTTTCTCTGCCAATAATCCCAATAAAAATCTATTAGCTCATGCCCTTAACCTCAGCAAGTCCTAGCTGTGCTGGTCTACATCTTATCCGGGATAATTTAAGGTTTCAGGAATTGTTGGCTTAGTGTTGTCTTTAAAAATACCTCCCTCTGTGATACAATCAGAGGCTGAGAGGTTTCAAGCAAACAAAACCAGCTGAGCTACCCAGTCTCCATAAGGTTTCCATAAAATCCTCATTTGGTTAACTCTTACGTTAAGCTGTTTGCAGCTAAGTGCCACAAAGGCACACTGAGAACGCAGGCTGGAGCTGCAGGCTCCCGCAAAGTGAAACACTGAGATATTCTCACACAGAGCAACTTAAACTTAACAGAGCTGTGCTAGTTCCAACCAGGAGAGACTTGGGTTTGAGAATGTTGATGAGCAACTGTTGAGTTCCCTCAAACAGGGAATGGTATGAACTCAGAAACTGAGTTTGTACCCTCTTGCTTCCAGGTCACTGCATCAAACAATCCAGTGCTGTGCAAAATGAACTGAGAAGGCTTGGTGCAGTGCCAAGGAGAATGAGCTCACTTTTCACCTGTGCATCAATTCAGGACACAACGAACACATCAGGTCAGAAGGCGGGGAACATATTTGGCCCTTTTCCTCATTTTCCACAGTCATTTTGTGGACACAGGAAGACACCTTCAAACAAAAAAAGCCCATCAGTTGCACTATAAGCTGATCGTTCCTGAAAGGTACTACAAAATTATAATGACAGACACCATAAATTACTCAGCTAGACAAGCAGTCAGCACACAAAAAGAGGAAGGAGTCTTCCTCCTCACTCCACCAGGTCACAGTGTTTGGGAGTGAGGTAACCCTCGCAAACAGTTCCTCCCATTGGCAACACTGGATGTTTTTCTGTCTCCATAGACAGGACACACTGAATAGTGGAAAGCTGATGGATGACATTCTTAGCTCTGTGAAGACTTTAGGATGTTTCCAGGAATGAATGCCTTGCTCCAGAGCCAGCCAGCTCTGGGAAGCTGAGCTGAGAAGCAATTGGGATGCAACGGCCGGCCACAGCTAGCATAGCCTCAGGTAACAGAGGTAACTTTCAAGCTACTGGCAAGTAGTGAACAAGTAGGCTTCTCTGGAGGAAAAAGTGGAACAGCAAATCAAGTGCTGAAAAGACTTTACGTAAGAGAGAAAAGAAGGCTGGCACTAATATCACTTCCCTACCTCACAAAGCTGGCAGCAACGGTAGCTACTTTTACCTTCCATTCAGGCTCAGTCCTGTCCTGGACTCACAATGCAAAGGGGGCCATAGGAAGGGCAACTGTTGGATGGATACGGAGGCAGAAATGAATGAAGAACAGGCAATCGAGAAAGAAGACTGGTACCAAATCTCTAGCTTCTAAAGAGGCCCCATAAACCAGCAGGAAGGGTAGCAGGCTGGGTGTCGGGACACCTGCATGCTTGTCTGCCATTAGCTCACTGGAGCAGCTACCTTCAGTACTGCAGCTTCAGTTCCCCTGTCTGTAAACCAGGGGTAGTAGAGTTTACTCATTTCATATACAGCTTTTTCTCTTCAAGATACAAATCTATTTTAAAGCTCCTAATAAAAAGTTCAAATGAAGCCCACAATCCAAGTTTTTCAGGCCTTCTGAACTCATGCTCAAAGACCTTTGTGCTGCAGCTCTTAAGAGCAATTTATAGAAGAAATGGAAAGCAATTTGGGGAAACAAGAATAATGATGTCCTTCCACCAAGAAAGGCCCAAACCTAGCTCTTATCCCTTCCCACACAGGTTGCAAATCTGGCCCCTGGTGGTCCTAAAACTGAAATGCTGCACACATTGACCCAGTCGGTCTTGCCTTAGAGATCATCAACAGCACAAATCTCTCAAAGGCATCCTGGTCTGAGGGATGTTCAGGACTTAAAACAAGGCCAGGCCAAGCTACAGCAGGGTGACATGGCCACTCCTAAATCTTGCAGCTTTCAGGGCTTCTGTCATGCTGAGTGGTGGTCTTTAACTCCTCTAACTTCCGTTATACACGTCCATGCATTTCTTAGCATAAAATACAACTGCTTGAAAAATCCTCCACTAACTTTTCTCCTGAACTAAAAGTAGCTCCTCCACAAAGTGGAAGTTTTCACCCAAATTATATGTTTGATATGCGATATTCACGTTCTAATTGAAAATAAAAGACAGCAGACATGCAAACTAAGAATGCTACAAACTGTCAGCTTCCAGCAACCAAACCCAAAAGCTTTTGGGTTTGCACCACATGGCTTCAGACTTTTGATGAAAAGAAAACTTGTAAATATTTGAACATCAATTTCATTTTTGTTGAAGAACTGCAGGAGACTTTATAATACATATGATGCAAACAAAACTTTGGATCTGAACTCTGGGGAGAACCCAAACATGGTTCAACACCTAAATGCAGCCATGATCCAGATTTAAGGAGTTCTGGCCACATGTCAGGTTTGGGTCCAATTTTATGGAGCTTAAAAGGAAAAGCACGCATCTGTGGCTGCCTCTGCTGTTCTTTTTTCAAAGCCACCTCTCACTGCTTTGCACATCTCCAGCACTTATCTCCGGGCTGCATGGAGATGCCTTCAGAACAGTTAATTCACCACATCCCCTGCACCACCCCAGTGCTTCTACTCAGATCCCTCTCCTTCCCTATTCCCCCCTCCAGTGCCATCTGCTCCTCCGTGGACACTTAGCCCTCCAGCTTCTGCTCTTCATGTCCTCAATGCTCACCATATCTGAATTAAGCAAACATGAACCACAGCCAGCCAAGCTTTCTGCTTAGTGACACAAGAGTTGGCAACTCCAGAACCTGCCTACTACGGAGGGGGCCAGCATAACAGTACAAAAGCCATGCAGGACAAGTTACATACACTCACTTGTCCAATAAACATACCTGTCCTGAATGCTGAGTGGCATTCCTCACAGGGCAAACAGCCTTAGCAAACCAATCCCCTGCTCCGAACAACAAATTACACAGATGCTCAAAGCACGAGCATGTCCAACATTGAGCCATTAGACTATCACATGTCTAATTCATAATAGACTAATTCATGCATTTATTTTATACGCAAAAGGGTCAGGACCACCTCCAAAACAATCAGGCAGCTTCTGAACAGATTCCATGTTAGAAACGATGAATGCTACTGTCAGTGGTGGTATTAGCTACGAATTATGCTTTCTGGTTTCCTATGTGGGTTTGCAGGCATGACAGATGAGAACAACAGGATCATTAGTTCTTCCAGCTAAATGGCTCTCAGTACACTTCACAAAAAGACCAGACACTCAGGGTCTAATTTGCTTCTATTACTTTGGTTCTTCTGCTTGGTGAACTCTGTAGAGGAAACATCTTTCCAAGCTGCATCCACAGAAGCACAGCAATGCTTTAGCCCCTGCTCCAATACAGCTTCCAACGATAGTGTTTATTTAAGCTGCATGACCAGGCCTGCTAAGTACCACAAAATATACATAAGGCTCACTACATACTTAACCCAGCAAGACACATATAGATACTCTTTACAGGCAAGTTTCTTGTCTTCTATATTTTGCCCCCTCCACTGCTCAAGCTTATCCGTTCACATACTTGCTGCCAGAGTTGCAGCATACAATACCACCAGCAATTTTCCTCTAAAAAAAAAAAATCTCTTCTGCATTCTGCAAATTTAATAGCTCCTCATCCCATAATTATTACCTTCACAGTCAACATATTGAAAGATCCAAAATGTTTTGCAAGCAAATGCCTGCCAGTGCAATGTTGGGAGAAAAGGAAAGAGGGGGGAAAAAAAAAATCAAAACAGCTTACTGAGAGTAACCGTGTCATTGATCCTGAAACTGCAGAGCACTCTGTCAACATTACGGGCATGTCGAAATCCATTTCCCCTCACGACAACCTGAAACGACTCTGTAGCAAAAGAGACAGTAGATTATTGATACATAGCGAGGCAAAGAATGGTCATTTAGACAAGGCACATACGTCCAAAGTTTTCACTTGAGATCTCTTGGGCTAAAATTTGCAGTTTAACAATTTTTAAACTTAAAAATTGTTAAAAACTGAACTTCCATTCTCTCCCTACCCAATTTCAACTTGAGATTTTAGAAACAGGAAATAATACACAACAGAAACATTTTAGCTGACCTGCAGTGAAACATTAAGCTTCAGAGACACTGAGCTTTCCCCTCCCCAGGTGGCCATTTTAAATAGCAAAAAGTTTTGGGTGAAGAAAAGCAAAAGTATCTTTCCATGGAAAGAAAAAAAATCTTCCAGTGACAGATAACTTGGAGAAGTTCAAGTGCTACTTTCTTAGGTAACTGCAAAAAATTGTATCAGTTGCCATGAGTTTTGTCACATCCTGGCCTACTAGCATGTACGATGACCACGCGTCCCTGGCTGGACTCATTTCCATACAATGACAGGGGATTTCATCAAGCGACCAGCTTTCGAGTCTCTGGACAAAGGCTACGACGTCAGAGTCTGCGGGCATTTCTCCAAGTCCACCTCTTTGCTATTAGCATCATAGAATCGTTTAGGTTGGAAAAGTCCTTTAAGATCATCCAGTCCAACCATTAACCTACACTCCAAGTCCACACTAAACCAATCAAGGGTAGACTATTCTTCCAGATCAGCCCTACAACATCACCGCAAGCTGCAGTGCAAGCAGAAAGCATCAAGGGCAGTCACCAACACCTGAGTGCTGAACTGAGCGGTCCTTTTTGGAACAAGCAGGGCTGAGCAATGAGATCATATCCTCACAAGTCTTTCAGACCGCTCTCTACCGTCCCTTGTTATTCCAACTACTTGAACCTAGTACTGGGAAAGCGTTACAGACTTCCTGCAGCCACCAGGATTAAGACTGCCTTGCAAGGAAAGCACCATTTTCAGACTTTCAGATTTTGAAACGGGGCCACAGTCCCAGAAAAGTTCTGGCAGTAGACATAGGAACTCAAACTCTGCAGATCCCCATGGCGAAGGAAACAGCCCCCACAATTCCTGTTACTATCTAGGAGAGGCACTCATGTAATCCCCACTGATGTTTCAATGGTGAATGTGGTTTGAACACGAAATGTTTCACCGTCCAAGACAATGCAGGAGTAATCACAGTGCATCAGAAACACCACCCTGGTTTTAAAATTCCCAGGAGCAACAAGGAACCTAGTTTTTGCACATTCAAAGTTTTCACCTTGCACTTTACAGTCCCCATCTTCTTTCATCTCCCTTAAGGACTCACACACTGTACTTGTCAAAAAAAGCAGATTTGCTCTGGAATCTGGGCTCTCTTCCAGGTCCCACTCGTTTACAGCCAAGTTGCAAATCATCCCACCACATCTAGCCAGGGAAGCCGCCTCGCAGGCCCATTATGTGTTGTCCAAGAGCATTTGGGAAGAACGGGGGAGAAGAGCTCTGTTCTGGAGTGCGGGGGCTGATGAATACTTAAGAGAAATCACAGAAGTCTCAACTGCTGGGGAATGAGAGTTCAAGTATAGTCAAAGAACAGCATATCAATGATGTCAGATTAACCACGGGGATCCTGTCTTTGCTTGGGACTGCAATGAACAGATACAGTATGCACCCTGCATGTCTGTACTGATGCAAAACCAAATCATCAAGAAACTAGCATTTCAGAATGATGTGTTGCTGCTGAAATTCATTACTCAAGTGTCTGGGACCAGTCTGCAGTGCAAGAGCGGCCTCAGGTAACACGGAGACCTCATGTTCTCACCTTCCCCCCCCCAAAAAAAACCCCAAAACCCAGCACCACTCCTCAAGGACACGCACAGAAACAAGAAAACACAAGGTATCAGAGCTACACCTACAAAATCTTTTTTTTAAAAAGACACTAACGCACATAACTTTCGTAGAATCATAGAATCGTCTAGGTTGGAAAAGACCTTTAAGACCATCCAGTCCAACCATTAACCTACACTACCAAATCCACACTAAACCAATCAAGGGTAGACCAGACTAAACCATATCCCGAAGTGCCACATCTACCCGTTTTTTGAACACTTCCAGGGATGGTGACTCCACCACCTCTCTGGGCAGCCTGTTCCAATGCTTGACTACCCTTTCCGTAAAGAAATTTTTCCTAATTTCCAGTCTAAACCTCCCCTGGCGCAGCTTGAGCCCATTTCCTCTCGTCCTATCCCTAGCTACTTGGGAGAAGAGACCAACACCCACAACATATTCATATCATATTCAACAGCACTTCCAATAGTCTCAAAGTCCTATAGTGATTAAATCAGCTGCAGTTCGAGAGCAACGGAATATTTGCCCAAACTTGGAGATGAGGCCTTGAACTGAGCATATAAATAACTGTTGGCATTTTTCAAGGTTAACATTGCTCCTCTTGTGAAGCACTGGCCAAATTCCACTGTGAATGGTCTTATAAAACCCATCTACATTTCCTCTCTGCCGGATACAGCTGTACATTACCCCTGCATTCTCATCAAGACACAATGAATGGGAGCAGTAAGATGTACAAGCAACTGACAAGCATATTAGGAAGCGTTAAAGATGGTTATAAATGGTGGTTATAAGTCACCTTCTGGCTTATGACATTACATAAGCATCACTGTTTATCACTTATACAAGTATGTAACTATATTTAAAAAAAAAAAATCTGTAAGCGTGTTAAGTGGGTCTGAATGTTCATACAATTTATTTTCCTTTCCCAAGGATTTATGGAACATCGCTGCACTATATCAGAGACTGTCATGACAACAATCATCTACCATGCTCAGGTAGACAGAGCCCTGTTTTGGAGCCTTTTTTAACAAAGGATCTATTTAAATGGCCAGCCAAAATGAGAAATAGATGAGTAAGTACTAGAATTCATGTCAATTATGCCATCCTGGCTTCAAATAACAGAGCTACTGTAGTGGCATGCGTGGAATGCAAAACTGATGCCTGGTACTTATTGGGCATTTAGCCTGGTGTCTTGCATCTGCTAGGAAAATATGACTACCTATACATGTTTAGGTATACAGGCAGTTGCTCCAGGAACAGGAGATACAGGAAGGATGATTAAAGCAGCTGCTTTGGAAGTGAAAACAAAGAAGTAATGACAATTGGCTTTCTTATCTGGACTACTGATTCGATAAAAAAGAAGATGCAGAACTTGTCAGGGACTCATCCTTCTTTACAAACCTCAGCTCTGCTCCCAACCTCTCTACTTAATGAGTTGCTACACATTCAACAGTTAGGATACACTTCATAAAATGTGAAGAATTCACAAGAAGCAGATGGAAGAGGCTAAAATGGTTCTCAAGCTTTCTACGAAAAAGGCTGGGTTCTGCTGCATGCAGAAACACTTGCCAGGACTTAAAAGCCACAGTATACTTAGCACAATCGTATTAGAACAAGCACACAAAGAAGGGGCAGTACGATTCACACAAGTCAGCTGAATGATGGTTAAATTCTAGTCCTCTCGGTCACCGTATCAACCCTAAACGCCTAACAAATGTTCAAAAAATATTAGAAGCCTTTAGATCAAAGTGTGCTCATTAGACTTTCTTGCTAGTTTCTTAAGAAGCACTTCCCTCAACAATCGTCTGAGATGATGGATTTGCAAGACTCTAAACTTAATCAAAGTCTTATTTTCTGATTTGGTTTGTAATTTGCAGCATATCTACTTCAAGTTTGGCACGGTCTGAGTAAAACAGACCAGCCTGACTCAAAAACAGTTAGGCAAAACTGTCAAATTCAAGCCTATTCTGTAAGAAAATCCCATTTGACATCATTTGGTAGAAATGTGAATGGGAAATGTGCAAGCTACTGTAAGATAAAAAAAAAAATTCACCAAAAAATCAAAAGATTTTGCTCCAGTTAATTAGTTCCTTTTGCACTCTGCAGCAAATAGAGATGGACAGGAAGATGTATTTGAGGCAATGTGAACAACTAGAGGCTCAATTTATACTTACCCCCTGCACATATACTGGAAGGCTCTGCTGCCAGAATTTCTATACAGGATTTCTTCAAAATCTGAAAGACAGAAAAAAATGTCATGAAGTATCTCAGACTTGTTTCTATAGAAACACAAATCTGAAAGCGTGACAGAGAGAGTGCACTTCGTTCTCACGCAAATGCTTAACATTGCGCTTTGCGTTCATGTCACAATTACGCCATCTTAGCGTTTCACTTTAAACCAGCCACACCGGTGGCATTGCTCTTCCACAGCAAGCTATTGCTATGGAGGAAGGCAAGGTGTGCCGATGCTCTCCAGCATGTCAGCACAAGCTTGCCTTTGTCCGTGGTACAAGTTATTGTGCAGACTACAATATGTAACAACTAAGGTGCACTCTGAAGGGTTAGCAAGGCAATGTCATTGCTCTGCCTTTGCAGCCACACCTCCCTCCCCAAAATTATTCTGGAGCCCAAAACTCCAAATCAAACGTCACGAGTTTAAGCTAGGCTGTTTACCTTTGCATTAAAACATCCTAGGAATATCTATACAGCCACTTCTCAAGTCTCAGTACAGGGGTTCAAACTTCTTAAGTTTGTAATCCGATCTATGAGAGCATGCCTGAGTGCATCCTCAAAGTTGCACTGTGATTTCAAATCGAGATGTACGGACGATTGCTTTTACTTGAACCAAACTTAAATTAAGCAGTATGTCTTCATAAGAGTTAGCGCTGCCTTTAACCACTTTATGTGTAGACAGTGATTTACACAAATACTTCAGCATCAGGCTTGGCAGACTGCTTGCAAGGCACGAGGAGCATGCTAGAGTTGGATACTGTGCCATACGGTGCTAAAATTGCGCAAGCTGTTATTTGCATGCAGCAGCCCTTCCCCTGCTCTGAAGACCAACTCAAATTCTTCACTGCACACAGTCAGCAAACTTGTGACAGTGTCCGTAAGCCCCTGTGAGAATGGCAGCAGCGACTGAGAGCTGTGGGTGTTGAGCGCTGGGCTGAGCAGCCCCCAGACGAGGTAATACTGATCAAAATTTAGGTCAGCTCCAAGAGGCAAGTAAATGTCAGCCAAGCATCATGACTCAAATCCAACATGAAAATTATTTTCCCAACTTTAAATTGAAACATCTGTAAGGAAAGAACAGCAACCAATACAATAAATTCTGTATGAAAAAGACAATCTGTTTTTTCTCAAAAATCATGGCGCTCTGCCTCAAATACCTAATTGCAAAAGGTACAGATATGAGCAATGATTTCTTTTTTTAAAACTTTTTTAAAAAGTTTGAGTTACTTAGGAGCAGGGCTGATAGAGAGTGAAAGAGTACCAAGGGACTGAAGGAACCAGGACCGTCTGAGCTGCTGGCAGCCTGACAAGTGAGGAGAAAGAAGATTTGCAGGAACAAGGTTATACAGGAACTGTCAAGTGGAAAAAAAGAGAAAGTCAACAGTTGAGAACTGAACCGAAAAAGCACTAGAAGAATTTGAAAGGCAGAATAAGGAAAATACACAAAAAATAAAGAGGACTGTAAGAACACTTTTCCAAAGTATCCATCTGCAGCTATCCATCCATCATCTCCTGTCAGTCCTCTACTACCCACCCCTTACTCATTCCAGGTTCTACTTCTCTGAAGATACAGCATTTTTCTCCCAAAGTGACTGCCAGGGCTAATAAGCACAACTAAGAGTTGAAGTTTTTCCAAGTATTCTTCCTCTCCACTGAAAAATGTCTCCTTTAAAAAGAGATTGTTTTCACATTTTTCCAAATCACCCCTTAGATTCTCTTCCCCTCACCCTCAGCATCCCCAGAAGTTTGAATTTATATTTCTTCTCCTCATTGCCTTTCAGCAATGAAGTGAAAGAGAAGCGGGCAAATGAGTTGGAGAACAAATGCATGAAAAATACAATCAACACTTTCATTTAAAAAAAAAAAATCAAGTAAAACCTCACATGATTAAGTCTGAAATTCATGACTTCTATTCAGTCATTTGCAAACATTCATGCTGTCAGCCAACTCAGATGGGGGGTGGAATAGCAGGTGTCTCAATTAGATGATGCAGAGCTCCCAGTCCAGTCCAATCCATTTACGTGGCTATAAAAAGCTGGCCTTAATGGCTTTTTACAGTGCCAAGTGCAATATTTATTTTGATTTAGAATAATAATGTTTCCAATGCTCCAAGCACCCACCCACCCTAAGGTGAAAATCAGGCAGCAGTAACTATTGCAAAAGAATTCCTTTACGTCTCTTCCTCGTTATAAAAATACATTCAAAAAAGACTTCAGCATATTCATCATAGATTTCCTCAAATCTTCTGTTCTCTTATTTCCCGAGGCCCGCACAGCCTTGTGTGGGCTGTAGGTGCACTTCATTCGCTGCGGGCTGGCTCCCCAGGAAAGCAAAATAACATGCAAGAGTGGTGATGCAATCTCCCAGCTGAGTGCCTATGAGCGGCTCCAACAGCATACATGGGAGAACTGACTCCACATCCTCATTTTCATAGGGAGAACTACCACAGTTCTGGTTTACTTGGTAACTAACTGCAGGCCTCAAGGCAGCTTGCCTTGGCATCCATGCAGGAAAGTATTTGAAGCACGTGCTCGCTCTTGGTGAGGAAGCATCCCATTGTCTTTAGCAGCACACACTTAATGACCAAGCTCAGATTCCCAAATCAGTCTCCTGTTGTACTCTATGGGGCTCCAATTACGCTTCAGCTTCACACAGGCTCCTGGGAGGATCTCTTGTTAATATTTGTTGACATGCCAAATAAAAAATGCAACACATCCTTGCAACACATGCATAAAGCGTGGCTTTATTTGTCAGTTATCTCTATCAGGACAGAACTGAATTTAGCACTACCTGTGACTAATTAGCCTTCTGCCAGGCAACGCATTAAAGACCAAGAGCCAGGAGAGGCCCTGCAGGTCACCTGGGCCGTTTTAGGAACAAAGGCAAGAAGGGGAGTGAAATTCTGCAGCTGCTGGAAGCTTTCATTTGGTATTCTGGTCCACAAGCAGGCAGACAGATCACTTCACCACAGCAGCTGCATATTTCTTATTAATTTTTTTTCACCGAATTTGGGAATTCTAATTAGCAACCAGGATGCTGAAGTTTAATAGAAGGCCTAATCAGTGCTAGGGCGAATGACCCACAGTCTGAGGCTAGGTACTCATTATCAAGCTCTGTTGAATTACTAAGTCAGTCTGTTGCCAATTACAAAACAGTGATTTACTTACAAAGTGTTTCCTGTCCAATAATACCTGCATGAGCTAAGTAAAATAAGTCCTTTTTAAAGATGCATTTGGGGGGAAGAAACAAGTAGAAAGCGTGATTATATACCACTAAAAGTAACGAGAAACACTATATAGTTGAGACTGGGGGTTCACATCCTCTGGTTTAGGTGGATAAGCTAGCTACCCAAGCCAAGAGGCTTTAGTTGTTGACTTTCTCTTTGGCCTATGCAGAAAGCCTGGCTCTGACAAAAGACAGATTCAGAATATCTATGTAAAGCTCCTGCTCTGAATTGCCCTCTGGAGATCCCACTCTTCCTTACTGACTGCAGAAGTTTAAAGAGCCCAGCTTGCTGACCCTGGGCAGTGTGCACGCAAAGCTCAGGCTACATGTTAGCAGTAAGGCAGACAGTTGACTTTTTTGTGTACATTACAGATTTTGCACGTACAGGACGTGTCTTGCAAAAGAAGTAACTTTCATCTCTCTCCCCCATTCATGGAGTCTCAGTCCCTCTCCCTGCACCAGGGAATATACAGTTTATCTATTTGCACGTAAAGTTTGAACTAGCTCAGGATGAGTACATAAAAGCATCGCCACATTTCTCATATTTTGTCTATGAGACACTCACATCCAAGTTCTCACAAAAGTTACCACGCCACACATACCCAGCACTGCAGCTTGTGTAACAGAAGTATTCAGAGTACATTTCCAAAATTTCTTGAGCTGAAGGAGTACCTTGAACTGCCATATCAATTCTAAGAGCTGAGGCAAGACCTGAAAAATACTGAGGGTAGGTGGACGCCATTGCAAGATGATCCAAAAGGAATACATAGGAAATTAAACTTAAAAGGATGAATAGGAGACAGCCCCACACACTAGTTCATACTACTTCATTTCTTACACATCACAACTGCTTAATGAGGCCTCCTGCAGCTCACTCAGAGAATCCTTTCTAACGGACCCGCGATTACAGCTCTATTTGAGCTAAGCTGGGAGCTAGTGCCACTGTTTAACACATGGCAAGGATCAGGGAGTATTCTTGTTGCAAGCGACTGCTCTTTCAGTCAGTTTCTGTTGAAGGCTCAGAGCAAAGCAGTGACAGGATCCCATCCTGACTTTCATGTTGCTTCGTGTTCCCTTGCCTCCAGCACTCCTACCAAAGACATACTGAGCAGCAGATGAAGTTGAGTTTCAGGTTTTCCTTCCAAGACTTGCTCTATTTGCTTTAAATTGACAGGTTATGATCTGCAGAAATTTTTCACAGCAAAGAAAAATTTAATAAATTACTTCAGTTCCTTCCATTGGTTTCCCAGCTGATAGCAATCAGATGCCTGTTTCTGTACCACATTCTTCCCTCCTAACAAACTCAAAATCCCCATTAAACATGAGGGAAGCTGAAGTTTTAGCAGTGGCTTTTTCACAACAAGGGAGAAAAAGCAATTGGTTTGCTTAATAAAAAGAGGTCACAGTGGAACTCACAGGAGAGAAAGGACCAAGACCTACAGTGCACTGAATACCTTCAGCTCCCACTTTAAGAATCACGTTTTTAAGCACGACTTCAGCATGGGACTGTATTTTCAGCTCATTTAAGCACAGCCTCCAGGGCACAGCCTGAATAGCTTGGCGGTGCTTAGTGGGAGACAGTCCTCCTCTGAAAGTACCGAGCAGATCTCCCTGCAGCTGCTAACTTAAAACTTGCTGGCTCCCACAGAAAAGGGAGGGCAGGTGTACTGAAACACTTGCAGCCCCACCACCCTGAACATCTTTGCTCAGCAGATGTAGAGGCCCAGCAGAGGCCAGCCTCAAGCTCCACCACTCCCAGCTCCTACCCTCTTCCTCATTCCAGAGGGACTTTTAAGTCCACCGCCTCTGCACACACTGAGGGTTGAAAAAGATCTGCTCCTCAGGACAAGGGGAGGAGGGAAGAGTCAGGCCGCCTCAGCAGGGCAGTTCACACCAAATCACTGCAGACCAGAACAAATCCAGGGCTTCACATCTCTAGAGCGATTTCAAACACTAATCTCTCCCAGGCTCATCATTTTATCTTTCCTTCCCTGTTACATCAACCAGCAGCTAATAGCCTAACCAATCCCCTCTACACATGTCTGAGCATCATTGCTGTACCAACTCTTAGACAGGAATCAAAAAAAGCTTCCAAATCTCACGGCTGTTTCAACATTAAAATGCTTTCCTGTGAACACAAATGCTTTGTTTCTTTGCAGACAGAGGCGCCTTGCAAGGACAAGAAAAGAAGGAATGAGGGAGCTTATTTTCCAGCTAGAACAGGAATCTACAGATTCTTTGTTATTCTACAGAGTGATTAATGTCCTTCTTGCCATTCCTTTTACACACCTCCTTTCTACCCAACCCACTGCAATCAGTCCACTCAAATGCAAGTGATGAGGTCACAGATTCATTACTGTACTAATTACGCTTCCTTGTGACCCTCCTTTCCAGGGCTGGTCAATCTTGCACCAGTCAGCTGAAGCAGTTCTTGACTAGGGTCCTGAGGCTGAAGTCTTCCCATTCCGTTCAGTATAACTGGAAAGGGAGTCAGAACTGCTGCTGGAATTCATTAAAAACAGCTGCAAAGGGAATGCAGGGCTGGGAAGCAAACTAGGGGGTTTTATTGTTTTGTTGCTTTCTTAAATGACAAGCAACACCTGATTGTCCAAGAGAATTGAGGCAGTAGCCCCACACTTGGACAGTGCCAGGAAAACCAGTAAGCAAGGGATTGTATTCCATCTACACACAAGAGCACTAGCGAAAATTGAGGCTGCACTGAGGGAACAGTTTTGCTTGGTACCACATGGTCAGAATAGTGTGTAACCACTGTAAACACAGAAATCTGAGACCCCCCTGGTGAACCTAGCCCCCCTAGCTTCGCTGTATATTTCGTCTGTGTTTTATCAACTCAAAAGCCTATACCAGAATGAACAAAACACATGTCTTTAGAAGGATTTCCCACCCTCCTTTGTAGCCATGGGAAGCAATCTAAGTAGTTACGGGATATGACTGAGCAAAAGGAACAGAAAAATACTGAAAGCTACCTGAAAACATACTGTTTCCTAGTGAATTTTACACTTACGTTTTACACTTACAATGACAGTGGCACACACATCCTCTTATATATTGCCTTTTCTGCTCAGTCAAGGGAAGCGCTGGTCCTAGGTGACACAGTATTAGGCTGCTCAAAGTTTTAGAGCTAGAAATAGGAATGCCTCATGAGGCATCCTTATTTGCCAGTAAAGACTGGAGCCGTTTGCATGACTGTAGGCAAGCCATGGGAAAGGAATCGATCTATGCCCCTCCCTCTGCCAGCTGAACTGCTAGCTCTTATCCCAGCCACTCCAGAATGGGCCAGCTCTTCCATGCTGCACCCAACCCCTAGAGCAAACGTCCGGAATTGATCAATCTGAGTCAGGAAACCTAGGTCTGGGGTGGTGGAAAAATAGACTGTTTGGTAGGAGGCCAAATGTAGAAAGCCAAGTTTTGGGGATTTTGGCATACATAGCAGGATCCCTTCCCCCATTCTAAACAGGTGAGCAGTGCCGCACATCCATGAGGGCGGAAAGGATGCTAATCAAGCAGAAGGACAGAGATCACAGAGTGCCCTAATCCTTCATACGGAACATGCCCTAACACATCTCTGGTGTCCCAGTCTGTGGCAGCCATTTTATAAACTGTCACCAAATGCCTAGTCCATTCTGTCAGTTACTTCCCATCAAGCAGGGAGACATACAAAGATAATATTTGGGCTCAAACCTTCCTGTATTGTGACATGTTGATAAACTCTACCTTGAGGTAGCAATATTAGTACAAACAAAGGTCAGTTTCTTTGCACCAAATGTTTAAGTGATTTATCAGCAGTCAGCAGGTCCTTGTGAACACAGGAAAACTAAACATTCAACTGTGCAAGCTAACACAAACTAACATGCAAACACACAATTAAAAATACTTACAGAGTCTATGATCCCCTGAAGAGCTTCAAAACCATCATTCACTGGAAAGACATGATCTTTGCTGTCGGCAATTCTAGCCAGCTGACAGAGCGGTAAAAGCAAATAAAACAGAAATGCAAAGAATGAGATAAATTAGCCAGCAGGCAGCAAATTAAGGCTTCTCCAGACTCATCCATTTGCAAGTAAAAAACCCAAATACTCCAAGTCCCCTGTATGGATTGCTAGTGCATTCTAGTTTGTCAAGCATTGAAAAGTTTATCTCTTTAGCCTGATTGATTTTAGAAAGCTCTATACTGGGAACCAGAAAAGGCTTCCCTTAACTTTGAAGACAAGACAGAACACGGCTTTCCCCAATGCCCAGAGCCTGATGATCTTTATTGCAAAAAACTGTCTCCCACATGACTGTAAATCACCCAGCACAGGAAATCCCCAACCAAATTAGGCCACAGTATCAACATGACAGGCCACTAATGGAGCAAAACACTTCAGCACATACATCATATAAACCAGGAAACTCATCAAAATGATTCAGTATTTTCACATATAGAGAAGACTAATGCAAATTATACCCCATCTGGAGATACAGGCCTGATTTGCCTTTCCTGTCAGGACAGAGATTTGACTATTTGTTCTAGGCTTAACCATTAGAAAGCCAAGAAGAAGAAAGCAGGGAGCTAACAGGAGATATTTTCTGAGTGGAGGGGAAGAAGGGAGCAGAAGAGCATTTGGAAGCCTACATGACAAGGAATAGGGCCAGTCATGAGGGAGTGGTAAGATAAGGGGAACCAGGACATCACCTGTAAAGAGCTACATGGGGGTTCACTTGTCAATAGCATGCTAAGGGTTAAGGCAAAAATTTAAGCCCAATTCAGAAGTAATGAGCTCTCCATGCATCTGCTGGAGCAGAATCAAGTTTTACTGCTGCAAGGCCAACGTTTGTTATAGTAATTCTCTCCCATGGCAGAGGTAACATCAAGCCAGCAGCCCTCTTTGGCGTTTCCTGTAGCACTGCAAACTGGAGGCAGCAGACCAGCCACACATTCTTCTCTAAACCCCACTGGCTCCACCTTTCCAGCTCATGTCACTCAGAACTCCCACTTCTCAAGCAAAACACTAAACTGCCAACCTCCTGGTTTGCATCCAGAGAAATACCCCTGGCAACTTTTCTCTGCCTGCTCCAAGAAGGGTAGTAAAGCTGCTTACTGCTTGTTGGCCAAGATACAGCAGCTTCTGTAAACCAGGATGTTTACAGTTTCCTCACCTCATTCCCTACAGTCCTCCTCCTAGCGCATTCTGGGACTTCAGACACAGTCATCTAATTCCAGTTAATTTCTTCAGCATCTAAATGACTTCAAGTGGCAGCTGTCTGAGGTCTGCTATTTTAGATCTAGTGTCTTTGCCATTTTTCTTTCCTCTTTGCTTTTTCTATGACTTACTCTGGGTTACACTAGTCTCTGTTTTTGATTCAAAGGAGATTGTTCTAAACCAAGTTTGTTTTGACTCCTTTTTGAATTGGTGTTTGAAGCTTTGTTAGAAAGCTCAAAACCTGAAAAAGCTGTATTCAATAAGCATTTCAGCACCTCACTTCGGGGCTGTACAAGTGTTTCGCTCATGTTAGAAAAATATAATGGCAACAGTTACACTTGCTGTGAAATGTAATTCATGGACATACTAACATTGTTATGATAAATTTAGAAGTCAGACTACCAAATGGCAAAACACTGTAAAATAACAGTGTCACTAATGAAGCTGTTTGCTTTTTACAGCATAGTTTTCCCATGAAAGAAAAGCTGGACCGAAACTGAAGTGTTAGATGGCAACAGCTCAAAAAAAAAAAAAAGTCCCCACAACCTCCTTCTGCCTACAGCTTAAGCCAGACTCATCTGCTGTTCTTCATGTGTCTTTTCCTCTGCTTTTCTCCGCCATTAGCAAGAGTCATTGTGGCATGCAGACAGAGGGACAGTTCTCCACATACGGAGATTAAGACAGAAAGGGGCTTAAACCCAACATCCAGGCCAAGATATTTCGGACTGTCCAACGGTCAACAGAAGACGATGACCACTTGAGAAAGTGAATCAGGAGCTTGTGCCTGTGTTCAACATGCACCTTTGCCAAGGACCCCCAGTAAACACGAGTGCCTCATTTACCTGGGTCTCATTGAAGTCTTTCACACCGACACAATATACTGTTGCTCCCAGGTCACGCGACCGATTAGCCTGGAACAAGGAAAGGTAGGATGACATGGATGCAAATGCGATGCGCTGCAGGTTTCTGAAAGGTCTTAATCATAAATTTAGCCTTTCTCTGTAAAATGAGCAATGGGGGGGCTTGTCAAAAGAGCTTTAAAACCTTCCTACCTCATTCTGCAGAAACAGGCTTTCTCTGTTACTAGAGTACAAATCTGCTATTTGTTTAGTAAAGCAAAATCCAAGGTATTTGGTAGCTTTTTTTATACCTAATAAGTTCACCTTCCTAGCTTCTCCAACTTCCTAACATTTGTCTGTCCAACAAATATGAGACAGACTAAATCCATTTTCTTTTCATCATTTAGGACATATCCCCGTATAACAGTAACCTAAAATGTTTTGGTATTTTCTATTTCAGACATCTGTGCCTGGACTCATGATATCCATAAGTGAAGAGACATTTCATTCCATCTGCTACAAAACTGTATCCCTCCCATTATTTACACAGCATCTCGAAGTAATAAAGGGAGAACATCCACAGGTTTGATTTTTCCAGGCTATTTCATTGACACGCAGATGAAGTTGCATTTACTATTCAAAAAGCAACTGCTCTGAATGCTCTTGTCTGCGTAAGTATGAAGTCATTTAATCATATTTCATTAGAACAGGAACACCTGACTGAAAATCCATTCCCAGAAAAGATGGTAGCAGGTCAGATTCTATCAGAAGACTGTAGTAGTTCAGATTGTCAGATAGCAAAGTGCTTTACAAGAAAAGCATCGTTGCAGTTTTACACCAAGAAACTTAAGCCTGAACAACTGAAGCAACTCGTAGTGTAAGAGCTGAGGTCAGGATCTCCGTTCTGCTAGCTCACTAACTGTTCCTCCCCAAACCAAACCAAACATAGCACTTCTGACCTCTCAACTTGTTCGTTCACCTCTAAAAACAAATTTGTTTTTCTTGCGGATTTTTGATTTCAGAAGGGAAGAAAAAGGAGATGAACAGTAAGGAGGGGAACTCTAGATTCATGACACTTGTTTGTGCTGTAGCAATATTGGTTTTATTCTACAAAGCCATTCTTTTCATTATTATTGGATTTGAAGCTGCACTTTGGACAGATTGAAAGGAAAAATCCTGTCCACAGCAAACTCACGTAACAATACCATCTTCCAAGTTTAGGTCATCTTAATTTGCCTGACTGACAAGTGAAAATTGGTTCATCTCCTCAGAGATGACTAACAAAAGGACATCAGTAGGAACATTATACAGCAAAGCTTTCAAGTGCTCAACCTACTGTTTATCTAACATTTTGCATAATACACTGATTTAATGAAGGTGTTGGGAATACATGCTTGAATCTTGGAAACACTTGTGGAAATTTTGGATTTGATCATCTGAAAAGCTTTCTGATGTGACAGAAGATGATAGGAACAACAGTCATCCTCTTTCTGCAGTCTTTACTTTTTGTAAAAGAAGAAAAGTCAAAGTGAGAAGATTCAGGTATTTCCCAAAACAATCCAGTAAATACTGAAACTTTGCAGCTGTGAACTATTATTTCCTCCAGTTTTTTTTTTTTTTTTAACTGGAAGTTTAAACCCCCCTCCTTTCCCATGAAGAGTCTTAGTTTTGATGAGTCAGAAGCATTGCTGCTGTTAATGTTTATCCTCAACATTCATGTCTAAAGAGCACCAAAGTGAAGTTTTGTCACGACGGAAAACGGTTTTCCCTGTCTTTTGCCTTCGAAGCAGCAAGCCCAGACATTTCACTGTCTCCCTGGCTAAAAATGTGTAAGACGCTTACCTCCCTCTCAGAGTAGAAAAATAGGTCTTCGTGGAGTTCTCCATCTGTCAATGCAATGATGACACTTGCAGTTCTGTAACCTAAATACACAAAATTCTTTAGTCCCTTGTTTTTGAGTAGTATTTGTTGAACTAGCCTAGAAAAGATCCTGCTAGCGACCTGTTAGCACACTTAAAGGAAACAGTGGACATTAAGCCCATGTCCTTACCTCCCTTCAGCCAACCAGTTTTCAGAAGACATGAATTTCCGCACACTTTTTACACTCAGGCACCTGCCTTCAATGCCAGTTTTATACCATGCTCCTTTGATGTACCAATGTTTTTTAATTGACAGCCCCTCATAACTATTTCAATATTTCAGCCTAGTAGATTAGACTGCAGCCATCAAAAACCCAAAGTGTTCCTAGTTATTTCCTAATTTTATTAATGCTGTCAATTCAAGAAATCCAGAGATTTTTTTCAGCTTGTGATAAAAAGCTCAGTTGGGATTTAAACACATACAGTAAGAAAATGGCCTAAAAATCTTCAACCTTCCTATGCAACATATTTCAGCAACATAGTTAAACCTTGCAGTCTTCCCCTTGTATTGATTATAGCTTGGGTTTTACAAGTTTGTATTAGTTTTCAGGAGTGGCCAAATAGAATTAGTTCTTATTTCTGACAATAGACTTGCTACAGATACGAAGGAGCTTCGTAGGTACATCTTGCACAAACACTGTTATGGAAAGATAAAGGCTTAGTATGACAAGGTGCATAAATTGTCAACCTTCAAATGTTTTCAAACATCTAGAGCATTCTCCTGCCATTACAAGTAGCTGTGCCTTTAACAAGCTGTTGCTGAAGAGACAAAAACCCAAACAAGCAACTTCTGCAATTACTGCAGAACAGAGATCTGATAATACCTAAATTTCTTGGTGCCACTTAGGAATCCTCAATTTTAAATAATGTGGTAATGATGCAACGAGAAAGTCAAGTGCTTGACAAACAATAAGCAACATGCAGGGTCATTCATGTTGCAGACGTGCCTAGGCTCTTTTGGTGGGAAATGGAGAAGTGAGCACTTCTTGTAAAACTTAAGAGCCCAGATGACTTCCAGAGATGCCTTTCTCCCTCCACTGACTACTGCAGGAGCCTTAGGCCCTATTGCAGGTGGTATAAACACTTTAGCGGAGCAAGGACAAACACACAGAACTAATAAAGACAAAATACACAGGCCAACATTCAGACTTGAGGACCCAGTTGTCCACTGCTTCTTGCACATGGTGGCAACCTGTTTACATGTAATATGTATACCAGCATGTAAAAGCATTATCAATCCCAAATCAAATTGTTCTAGCTATCTATTCCATTCTGCTTCAGTCATATTTTACAGATGAGTCCCAAAGCTGTGTGGACTTAGTCACTACTTCATTTTATTCATGAGTGGCCCTGCAAAACCATTAGGACTGGCTTTGTACTCAACCATCTGCTCACCTATCTTTTGGTTTCCAAGAAGCATTGTTCATATTTCTGCTTCAGGCTTTGCAGTGCAGAAAGTTTTTACATTAATTACAAGGAAGGAAAGGACAAACATTTTTACAATTGTCTGCACTTACTACTGGATTTACTAATTGCTTATTAGAAAAAACTTTTACCTAACAGCATCTCCACATGTTTCAGAAGGAAGAAGAAATGGTTACCTGAGCCCTCAAGCAAAAAGAACAAGATAAGGTACCAGACAGTTTTGGTAAGAGCAGGCACCTTCAGTCAGCCTGGCTTCTCACTTTTGGCCTGAAACGCATTCATTCCAGCTCTGGATCCTTAAAGCTCCATCTCTTCTTTTTCCTTTTCAGGAACAGCTACCCTGAATGGCATCGCATTCCTCTAAGAATAGGAGCCACCCCCCACCTTTCCCACAGTGAAGCTGCATTTCAAATCTATTAAAGTTATCAGTCAAAAAGAAAGAGAAAAACATTCAATGGATCAAGAAAGTCTCTCACCGTGAACATTTTCATAGTAAATCTGTTCACTTGCCTGAAATTAAATCAGAAGATTATTAGCAATAAATGAATAATAATACTTTGTGGGCCCCTAGACATGCACCAGAAAGAAAGAGAAGATGGCAGTGAGGATGTCATGTTTGTAGTCTGCACATAACCTCTGCTTTTCAGCAATATCTGCTTCATAGAACAAGTTTCTTGCCTATGGTTTTCATTGCGCTACTTCAAGGTCTTATCTAAAGCATAACTCAGTCAAACCAACTCTAAGGCCACTGGCCATCAATAATGTAGTCTCCCACTGTTCTGCTATCAGAAAATCACATTCACTTTCCTCCTTGAGAAACGCCCTAGGTCCATTGATAAATATTCCTCAGCACCTCCAGATCAACTGCTCTGCAAACAAACCAACTTCAGAGAGATATTCTTGCACTTCTCTCCCACTTGATCCATGCACAAGCACATTCTGCAAGGTAGAAGGGCAAACACTTCAGTGTGCATCAATTCAAAATTAAAAAGTAAGCCACTCTGAACATATTTGGCTTATGAATTTCATTTCTGTTCTGAATTTAAATTTGGGGGTTTTTTGACTTCTTCAGCAAAGTTTCTGAAGTCACCAAACCCTGGGATTTGGTTTTGGCCTCCTAGTTAAGAGCCAGCATCTCTGTCAGGTCACCTAAATTTTTCTTGTGTGTTCACATGCGTTTTCAATAGGCAGACACTTCCATAATCCTCCAAAATGCACATGTAGTACAGAAGTGGGAGAGGGTTCAGGACTTCAGGTTTAGAGAAAGTCTTGAGCTTGTAAAATACACAAAAGAAGAGCAGAGCAGGCAATAACTTCTGTGCAGCATTATTTGTCCACCAGTGAGAACAGGTTAGAGCCATGGCCTCAGCCCCCACCCAATTCTAACAAGCCTACTATACACCCATGCGGGACTCTAGGCAGTATTCTACCCTTCACAAACATTGTTCCATTTAAGGTTGCAACACCAAAGCCTTCTGCCTCGTTCTAAGGTGAAAAGACAGCTCCCCCCACAAAAGCTGAAGGCAAAAAGAAAGGTAAGTAGTAGGGTTTGCAGCCCACTTGCACCAGCTCCAACACTGAACACATACAGTGTACCTATTGCATAAAAGCAAAATAGCCCCACTTACCTACCACAGAATTATTAACAATAACTGTTTAACATTTCCTGAGGAGCACTCAGACAGTTTAGAGGTACTAGAGCATGCACATAGTTACCCTTTCAAATCCTTCATGCATGTATGTGTCGCCTCCCGGAAGGACTTTCTGCAGCTCTTCTAGTCCCTGGCGTATCTGTTCCCTGAAATGAATGCAGATGCATTGTTAGATCCAAGATCAAATTTATCAGGAGCTGATATCCAGGTGAAGACATGCATGGCAAAACCAGATACAGAGAGGGGAAAAGAGCTAACCCAATGTCTCTATAGCCTAAGGTAATGTCTGGGTAGATACCTTTCTAAGGATGTAGAAAATAGAGCAGATGTGCTCCCAGCATTCCCACAGCCTGGGGAAAGCACCACAACAGCAGCATCTCCTAAGTCAATATACCTACAGTTCTTTCTAAATAAATATTCCCTGTGTAACCCTGGTCAAAATTCTGACTCAGAAGCAGAGCAGCTGGCTCACTTTCCTCACTTATGCTTGTTGACTTGACTATATAAATGTAATCAAACAGCCACAAAAAATGACACAATCTTAAACCATCCTGGCAACTCCAGTTTATTTGGACATTACACCTTCAGTTCCTGTTCAAACTGACTTGAAGATTAAAGCCTTTCCCAATAGCTCATTATGATTCAGGGTATCTGTTTTAATTTTTTAGAAATCCCAGGCATGGTGACAGATCAACTGCAGGCTAAATGGTGTGGGCACCCATTTGTTGTTCCACTGAGTTGCAGACACCAAACTCTGGAAGCCAAGTACAGGCCAGAAGTCTTTAATACCAAGATAAAACTCTGCAGTGCGTGGGGTGTATCTCTGAGCAAACTGTACCATCTTCATGGGAAACAGATTCAGTCACTGCAGGCAGGACCATGCTGACATTGCAAGACCAAATGCCAGAAGTCAGTTTTGTCCCTGCATATTTTAACTACTTCAGGAAATCCAGTTTGTGTGATCATCACATACTCTACTCACATTTGTGAGGCTGACTGCAGCAGTGCATTAACATTAGCCAGTCTACAAAGCAGTAACTCCCACAGGGAGAAAAGAGCATCTGCTTTTGTAATAGGTTGAAGTATCAAACATTCAAGAACTCATTCTGTACCTGCGATATCCAAAACTAGTTAAACACTGAACTGTATATCATAGCTGGGCTAGGAGCGGGGATTTCCTCCATTCAGCTACCCATGCACATACCAAGCCAAAGCTGAATATAAAATCAAGATCATTTCCTGTAATCAGAACCATTTCTCAAATGCGAACACTGAAATTTTAAAATAGACAGCAAAGGTCTTTAAAATATGTCAATCCAGTGCCATTAGACACACAGAGTTTATCCAAAAGGGATGCTGAGCACCCTGAATCTTCACATCCAGATGCTGATACACCACATGGAGGCACGGGCAAGGTAGAAAAGGCTTTGCCACTACCTCCTTATTAAGAAAGGCCAGTGTTAACTAAAGGACCAGCATGAAGCCCCCACCTTGTTTGTCAGTCCTCCAATAAAAACCAGCAGTTCTCCAGTCAGCTGCCTTTTAGACTAATACCATATCAATATCCTGTTCCCAGCCTACATTTCTAGGACAGCTGGATAAATACAAAATACATTTCCACATGGGAAACAAGACTTAAGTCTCATCACTTAGAGCCTTAACAGACTAGAGATCTTTGCAATGGGGTGTGCTCACAGGGTGGGAAATGGAAAGAGGCAGGAAACAGGTTTTCCTCTGGCACCAAGTTAGATAGGGTTAATTCTCTTTATACTTATTGTAGCAGTAAGTGGCAAGAGATGCTTAGGCTGGCTGGGTTTAATGACACTTTTCAAGGCTGGTATGTATGTGGACTGCTCTTTAGGAAAGCGGCCAGTTTCCTATTCATTCCTCTATAGTAGCTGCTCTGGTATGCAACTTCATAGACATCCAATATGTAAAACACATGCTGACTTATACAGTCTTCACATGTGTTACATATATTTTTGCTCCACGTGGCAATGAAGTTAAGAGAGGAAGCAAGAGCAATTAAAGGACCTCATCCAGCTCTGCTCAAAGTTACAGTAAAAAAAAAATTCCATCCCATAGATTTTACTGGGATTAACTTGGGGATCTACAAGGGGATGACAGGAACATGCTCCAGAAACATGGTGATCAAACTGTCATTGCCAAAAAATATACACCCTTGCAATCCATCCTAAACACTGTTTGCCTATAACATACCTTCAGACCTCCAAAGAAATCATGTTCACCTCTACCACAAGAGTAGGGGTGTCACCTATGGCTTTCAAGTTTATTTTTATGGGAAGGGAGTTTCACCCATTCGTTTGCAGAAGAAACTCCCTAAGGATGTTTCAAAGGCAATAAGGTTCTTGTTCTCTGACAAAAGCCTGCAAATCTGTGGAAGGCAGACTCCTCAATGAAAGCAGTTTGAGTTAAAACCCTAATTGCTGACAAAGACACTTAGAAGTTAAAATTAAGGTGGCAACCTCTGCCTTAAGAGGCCTTAATGCATTCTAGCAGAATGAGTGTCATGTGAAAATGGGCAGGTGATTCAAACAATTAAGTTGAGAAGCACAAAGGCATCACAACACTGCTCACAGTGGATTGGAAATCATTGAGCAAGGAAGGTGAAGGAAGCTACAAGGACACAAGAGCTGCTGTGCACCTTCAAACCTCTTCTTACCTGTCTTCAGTTAACCTCATTAGAATTGTCCCTCTAGTTGAAAAAACGATGAAGGACATCCTCAGCTGAGGGCTGGAGGAGAGCAAAAATAAGTAAATTATTTTAGTCGTCCAGAGCTTACTGTATGCATAACACCAAACACACAGGATGCTCTGATTGCTATCTAGATTATAACTCAACAGGATGAAAGACAGGACTGAGCAGCAAAAGGTGTTAGGGCCTTCCTAGTCAAGGCAAACCATGAGGAATCCTTCTAAAAGATGTAAATAGTACTTGCATCGTGACCTTAGGATTGCTAAAGCAAGAAAGGCTTAAGTGCATCCTGGTATCACCATGGAGACAAAGGAAGGCTAATTATGTTTATCATACCACATTCCACCCACTGGCCTGGGGGATTTTTCATCCAGCCTCAAGGCATTCAGTGCCTCAGGCCTCTCCTTGCAGACCCAAACTCCTGTACCTCAGGCAGTAGCCAGCCATCTCAGAAACAAGAGGATTCTTTCCCCACAAAAATACGATCTGATCCATGCAAGTCAGGCAGGAAAAAAGGGAACGATTAGCTTATCAATTCCCGTTTCCTGCACGACAGAAATTTGGGGAAAAGCAGTCAATGGGATGATCTGAGAAAAGCATTACAAATGAACTCTCCACCAGGTCCCCAGGTGGAAAGCAGCACATGCTACTTGACTGCGACTGAGAGCACATCTCCTAGCTGCTGGCACACGTACACCTCTTCATTCGCTTATCTCCAAAGCAGCACTTCTTACCTTATGAACTTGCGGGCCAAATGTTCCACAAAATGATATATTTCATTCCAATGGTGCAGGACACTTCCTGATCTAGGGAAACAATTATTACAGGAAATATTAGTTTAATTGCTGCTATTGCAGTTCTCCCAGTCTAATGTTTTGTTACACATTGCTCACCTAGTTATTCGTTTTTAGCTTATTTAACACTCACTGTCCATATTCTTCCTTTGAAGAGATATTAAACTGTAAGTGACATTTCCTACTTAACTTTGAAAAGCAAGAATAATTTACACTCCATGCAAGTGTTTGAGGCTACACTTGGCAATAACATATGGCAGTTACGCTAGACCTTTCGCGCAGCCTTCAGTAAGTAAACCCTGTGTGAGTGAAGATCTGTCTCTCTGCAGAGCATTTTAGATTAATTCCACCAACTCACTTGCCATACCATTATGCACAGCTTTTAGCTCAAGTGTATTGAGAATAAGATGCAGTTGGAGGAACAGATTATTAAACTTCTCTAGCATTTCCACTGTGCTAGAGACTATGAAAAGTAAAACACCTTGGGTCCACATCTCAACTGTTCTGGCTAATTCTTTCACACCTCAGTTAAAGGCAAAACAAACTAATTTTGCTCCTCAGGAAAATAAACCATGGACTGTAATGGGATTGGATTATTCTTCTTTATGTTGTAAGAACCAGGAAAAAATTAGGTTAATCAGAATCTTTCAGCACTAAATGCCCCATCTAGCATAAACACTTCTAGGAACACTGGAATATTGATATTGGAAAAAATTCCTTCCTAGAGTTGGAAAATGTGTCATCACTTATTTAATGCATTGACTACAATCAAAAATATTTATAGGGGAAATAACCATTCCAGCTTAATTGAACATTCATTGATCCACAGCCTGAGGAGGAAAAGATGAACATTCGAGAAGATTTTTTTTCACTTCACAGAAAGATGAGGCATCTGACCTCTCCTACCTTAGGTCCGAGAATGCAACTGATTAGCCATGAATAGATTCACCCAGGTACTGCACACCTGGTACCACCAACCCCAGACTGGCTGCAGATAGCATTACTTCACTTCCTAGCAGCACAGCAAGCATGCAAACCACATTGTGCAGGTCATAGAAATTTCCTTCCCTATTCTCCCCACACCTGGTTTTCATTTACAGCCATTCAATAAAAACCTTGGCCTTACCCACTTGCTCCACAATACCTTAAGCCATTCTTTCTCTATATGACCCCAATGTGTCCACAGGCAACATTAGATGCAATGCAATGAGGACCCCTGCACAGGTACAAGAGCACATGGTCCATCTGGAAAAAGAGTGAACACTCTGGCTCTTGTTGCACAAAGGACCTGACACCAAATGCACCTCTTTAAAGATAACCTTACAGGCACCCCTGTTTTGTCCATGATTGTAAAGGACAGACTGCAGAGGAGACGTGATCATAACATGATGCTAACAGTGCTGGATTACTTCTTGGCTCTCTTTCCTTTCATCAGACCAGGACTTGAACTCATTAATGCAAATGTGTATCAGAGAGGACCAAAGAAACACCAATAGCAAGGGTCTTGATAAACTAATGAAACCACACAGACACTGGGAAAGTTGGTGTCTTATAACAGATGAAGGGCCAGGTACATCAGGACTTGCTCTCAAATGAGAAACTTTGCTGCTGCTGCATCCAAACTGCAAACCGATAGAACAGAGACACACAAAGCTCAACCCCAGGTGCAAATTCCTCTCAGATGTATGGAGTAACTCTGAGACCTTGAATATGACAGGCACTCCAGTCCCATCAATGCCAAACAGTCCAAATCATTTCCGAGAACTGGCCTGGAAAATAAGTATATATTGTCTTTATATGGTGAGGCATAGAAGAAACATTGACTTTATAGCAATGGCTACATCAGTCTCCAGAAGACACATGGAGCCAAGGCTTTGTTAACCATAAAACAATTACGCCGAAGAAGGCTTCAGTGAAATGTATGCTGCTTTAGACCGTATATCCACCTCTCAACAAAAGTGCACCACATTAAAGTTTCACATGTCTTCTGAACAGCAAACACATGAAGTTAGGACCCTTTCACAAGTATACCCCAACCAACCTTCTCCTAGCCATCAGATAAAACAACTATACTACACTCATGTTGAGGGAAAACTTAGCTCTCAGCCTCTGCCAGCACAGAAGCTCTAGCCTAGCCCCCACTTACAACAGGACACTGCCCTAGAAGCTGCATTAGCCTTTAGAACTACAGTTATTTCTTCCCCTTCATTAAAAGCCGCTGAATAGAAGTCGATCATCACTTCAAATGACTATTGCAGCAAGGCAGCTGGGAATGAGATCCAGCCATAGAGCACATAAGGTATGTAGGTCGCCATCTAAAACTCCTGTCATTTTCCATGGCTCTGAGAAGTCATGCATTTTTTGAACACAGCATTTGCCAGAAGAAAGGTTAAAACCCAATAGCTCAATTCAATGATGTGCCAGTCAATAGCACATCCTGTTGAAGCGTTTGCCTTCGCAACTGTTGTTCTTCCAGTCTTAAATTGTTTGAGCAGTTTTATCAGGTAAGCAGTGCTTTTTAATTCTTCACACAGGTATGGCTTCAGCTTCTGCTGTACCTCCTCCCCTTCATCATCCTCGCTCTGTTCTCCCACCAACACTCCCATCTTTATGCCCTGTGGAACAAAACTCCAAGCATCTGAAGTTACAGCTCTTTTTCCATGAAACCTTCCCACGCATCTTAATAAAGGAACACAGAAGAGGAACAACCTGAAGTTCAAGAACAGTAGAATATTAAATGTCTATTTTAAGGAAACTTCTTACCATTGCTGCAATCATAAAAACAAACCCACTCTATCCCACAAAAGGAGGACAGTTTCTGCTTTCAGTTCCAAAGGCACTGAAGTGGGGCAATTGGAATAGTCTACAATCCACTCATTCTTCATGTCTATCAGAGCAAGCTATAAAAGGGTCCCAAAGCGAAGGCTCACACTTTTGCTGACCACACATTGCTCCTTCTAGCACAGCAAGTTTTCCATCTGTAGTTAGACACCTTGCAGTCTACTTGCAGTTAATTTCTCCATCTAGTCAAGCCCAGGTGTCAGTGGCTATAAATGCCCAGGTCTGCATTTAGAAAAAAAGTACTCCTCTAATACATGAAATACATGTTCTGAAACACACTTCAGACTTCTTACAGTCTTCACTTGGCATAAAATGGACAAAATGGATAAAACTAACCTTTCTGCAGTCAATAGAAGGTTTACAAAACCAGCATTAGCTTACAGTGTTCACCTCCACAGCTTTCAGCTGTGTTACGCGGAAGCCCTGCAGTAAAAGACACTTGTCACTTGTAAAGCCTCTCATAAGGCAGGCCAAGAATTTTTAATAGGACAAGTATTTCTAAAGCCTAACTGTAAGACAATAAAAGCCAAATTTGAAGATCGTTACCTCTTCATATTCCCAAAGAGAAACAAGATAATCAGCGAGCCAGCGCTTTGCAAGCTGAATGGTTGAGGCAATTTGCAACTTGTAATTTAAGAAAAGGCTCATCCTGAGGATGCCAAATTCTCTTGCTGGAGAAAAGCCCAATAAATGGAAATTAAGACTAAGTAAACCATTATGCCTTTAACAAGAGAATGATACATTCTGTGGTCAACTGTGCTGGAATTTTGTACATCTAAACTAAGTCCAAGGGCGATGGAATCAGTCATTCAGTGGTTCCAGACACGGAGAACCACACTCTGGCTAAACCCTGCCCTCCAGCAGCTGCTTTTCTCCTACTCACTGTGACAAGATGCACCATAACCCAAAGCTGCAGCAACTCAAACCTCCTTACCATTTGACTTTCTTGTACTTTTGAGACTCTATTTCCATCTCAGTCACTGCACCTTCTCAGAATACCTGTGGCTTTATTTAGTTCACAAACTAGAAGAAAACAGAATCAAGCCCACAAACTCTTATACAAAGACTTCACACCAGTTACGTGCACTGCAGCTGACAGAAGTACATAAAGACACCTGACGCAGAGACTGGTGTTGATCCAAATTCTCCTTAAACTTTCACAGTTTTGGACCAACTTCAAGAAGTCTCATAGCTGCTAGAGGTGGCATTGACCCAAGAAGTTTTGCAGCATCTTTTTACTGAGCTCTTTAAAAATAACACAAATGAGCCAAAAAGCATCCTTTGTCTTTCCAAATACTTCAGGAGCAATTTTGAAAACACTACATAACACAAAGATGTTAGAGAGGTGATGCAATTCTTTGAGGAAACACCACTATCTTGTGTCACACTTCACACAAGCCTTACACAAGCTCACCAGAGATACTGTCAAATGTTTGCGATTACAGGGTTTATAGAGGTCCGGTTCAGAGCAGGGTAGGCCTCTAAGCCCAAACACAGTCCAAGAACATTCTTCTCTTCCTGGTTGGCAGGGGATACGTAAAAAAACAACTAATAAGCAAGTAACCATGGACTGAATTTACATCAAGCAGCTGATAAAGTGCAGAGTGCTGCAGGCACACACTTAATGCTGGATGTAAGGCAGCTCCCACCCGTCCCTTTTACCAAGGAATAGCTAACCTTAGATTCACCACTGGCTAAAAACATGTACACAGGTCTCGATGGGCAAGGATTTCACATACTAACTTAACGCATTGCAATTGCATGCCTACAGCAGGCTTAGGAGTGAATTGCATTCCTTCAGGCAGCAAGCAAAAAGACACAAGAGTGTGCAAATTCCTCCACACTACCTTGCTAGCATCCTTAACCCTCATGCTAAAACAAAGAAAAACTATGCCTCCATATACTTGCCACCCCCTGCCATCCAAACAAAATGCATACATTGCTCTGGATTCAGGCCTGCGACTCCAGAAAAACAATCAAGGGATCACTGACGAGGTCAATGAAGATCAGAGACAATTTTGAATCTATTTCCGCAGACACTCAATTTTACCATTACCTACTAAAGGCTTGTATTTCTTCAGATAAGAGCAGCTAGAATATTATTGAGCTCTGCAAGGGTCCCTGTGGTTAGCTCTCTTGGCAGGCTCACGTTTCCCAGGGCTAGAGTCACTACTACCAGAAGTGGGTCACATAGGTCAGTCTCCCTGCCTGGTGATGCAGTGTCTGTCTGCTTTCCATCCCACTGCTGCCCCTACGCTCTTCTACACTCTGAGTGTAAATCTGGACTTAGTCCCGCTTAAGTCACAGTAACTACAGCTACTAAAGCTAGATTCGAAGAAACAACTACTAGCCTGTCTACAGTAGGAGTTTCACTTCAATACAACTGGTTAAAAATAGATCAGCTGTCTGGCTGAATAACGAAGGGATCACAGGAAACAGCTTGGATTACTTGCTTCATTTTGCCAAGGATCTTTTAGAGCCAAGTTTTCTTTCACACATGTGCAGGTCGTTGCATGTTTTCTGCACATGCCTGCTATTTGCACACAACAGGCAAGAGCATAGGAAATAACACCTTTGACACACAGAGGATACAGCAAAAGAGTACTGAGATGACTTACTCGTCATTCCTTCCTCCCTACCTGCAAATAAATTAATCTTGGGAGCTGCCTCTACCTAGTGTTCCAACTGTGCGTGAGATGTTTACATGCTACAGCACTAGATACCATGTCAGTTAGGGGTGGGTCGTAGTCTTCATTAATTAGTCACATGGATGATATTTTTAGAATGACTGGACAACATCAGCAAAAACACGTTTGCTCTATGTTTATCAACATCTCACTGCTTCCTCATTTTCCCTTCTTAATGAAGGCCCTATATCTTAGCTTGCATCCAGGCTGTAAATTCTTTGGCACCATCTTCTGCCATATGCCATTCAGTCTACAGGAGCCTCAACCCATGAAACCCCTCAGCACCACAGTAACACAAAAGGACATGCCACCTAGGACCAGCTCTCTCAACACTTCTCCCAAGAGAAGCGGGCCTTGCCTTCTACAACACTGGGCTCATCTTGGTATGACCTCCACTTTGAGACGCTCAGCACCCTGCATTTCTAGATCCTGCATATCACCCCAATAGCAAATAGCTTACAACTGCACTCTAAATAGCATACAGCTTGAGTTGTAGCCCTCTCCACCTTTTTTTTTTTCTTTGCAATCAAAGCACAAGAGAAATGGATTAATCCGGTCTTAATTCATGTTAATACAATTCCTTCAGCAGCTCAGAATTTCAAGCTAGGTGTTTGTGTGTGTAACGCTATTTTTGTCATTTTAAGTTTGCTGCATGTCAAGCAGCGATTCTCAAGAGAGCTGGCAAACCTTAGTTTCCTCCAAAGTTGGAGCACTGCACCAACAACAGCAGGACAACTTCAGTTTTACTTGGTAAAGAGTTTGCCCAACTCAAACCGCAGTCCTCTGGGGTGTCTTTGCATCACTTTTGGAACATATCTCTGCTAGCCTGAGGTCCAGTGGTCACAGCATGAGAGGCCTCCTCTATTGCTACCTAAGCTGTGTGAGAACTCTTCAAAGTGATAAAAGACATGCAAGTGCATGCACAGAGATTAAGGATGCTATTGTAACCTAGCAAGCATATCCAGCATCACTCAAGCTTTTGTGACATGTGCATCAAGGAGTAGCATAACAGGATTATTTCTGAATGGCCGAATACTGGATTTTCTTCTCCTTCATGACCATGAGAAATGGGAGATTTGCTCCAGGTCCTCTGAGCACACCATCTGCAGGGAGTCATGTCTCCAGCTGTCTGCAGATAGCCACAGAAAACCTGGTTTCCCTTCCACAGTTCACACAGCAAGTTTGCAGGGGTCTCCTAAGGAGAACATTGCAGGGAGCCAGAGCATCACTTCGTGAGAGCAGCCTATAACACACGCCCTTTCCTGAGTGGGTTACGTGTTCTCTTTGAAGGGCTTCTTGTGGCTGGAAGTATGCTGCAAGAGTCCACGCTGTGACGAGGACTGCGTATAGCGCAGCAGCTGGAACACGTCCTACGAGCAGCACACATAGAGGGTGCTAAATGGAGTTAAGCAGTCACTACATCCAACCAGGCACTGAGGCAATAGGGTCAGTAGAGGGCTCTAGCACTGGTGACTTCCAGGGCTGTGTTTATTCTTTTTTTATTACTCCTTTGATCCCAGAAAGTAAGTTGCTTAATATTTGAGTGGCTTCCTTCCACCACTGAACTTAACATTTCATGGTTCAGAATCTACGTCTCTTCTGCTTCACTGTCCTTTATGACTTTTAATAACTTTAAAACATCTTTAGAGCTATTTCAAAGAAGAGCAGCAAGCCTATTATTATCATTTCATAATTTGCCTGAAGGCCTCCATAAGCATCACCTCTCTCCGCATTCAGGACTTCAGCACCTTTTTTGAAAACATTCTCTAGACAATCAGAAGGTAGAAAACCCAGCGTAAATAAGACTCAAGTTTTTTTTAGAACTTCAGCTTAGCATCTGAGGAATAAAAGAAAGTTTTTTTAAAGCTAAAGGATATGGGATAACCTACTCCACCACAGTCCCTCATCAGCCTCCTCAAAGGCTAAACAATCAGGTCCATGGCACATTGTACACACTGGTAACTTAAACACTGTAATTGTCCTCCAAATTCTGCTAGAGACCAAGGACAATTTTACATCACACCCTCTTCATTTCTGCACCAGAAAAATCCCAGAAATAGGAATCCTGCAACTGTCAAAGCCAGATTTTTTTGTTGGATACCTTGATACAAACACTGAGGTAAGCCTGCCTACTTTAAAGTTTGTGCCAAGCTTCATATTACCATCCAAATTCATAATCCCTCAAGCAAGCCTAGAAAGTCATGACTTTTAAGTAAGAGGACAGCACAGAACTTGAAGTGGATGTTAAAATTACATTAGCTCCGAGGTATAATGCAACACAGCCATCAGATTTGAGAAAACCTTCAATTCTGCTTCAACTTTCAGGGAAATGCAGTTTGCAAAAGCTGTCTGCAGTACAGTTCATGCTCTGGTTGGTTTTTTTTTTTCCACATGTAGCAATAAAAGCATTTCAACTAATAACTGAACAGCCAAAGCAACAAAATGTATTAGACAGGTAGATCTTTCCACTGAACAAAGTTAAAAAAAAAAAATCTTTCTCCCAGAGCATTAGGACAACTAAAATATCCAGTGTCTCAGTCTTACATTTTACCCAGTATTTTGTAATAAAGTGTTATGTAATTCCAAGTAATTTATACTAATGGAATGTAGGGGCCACTGCAAAACACTCAGGAGGATCAGTCAGGAACCTTCATCTGCGAGCACTTTTGGCAACTTGCAAATACTTTCCTGTCTCTGAGATTTATGGTTAATAATGTCAGTACCATGGCTCTGGCATGCATATTCTCCAGTATTTCCAAACCTTTGGTTCAAAATAACTATTCTTAATCAAGAAAATTAGGAGAATCATTTTAGCTAGTACTTTTTTTTATATACTTTTTTTGTAAATTGTTTTATTGCTCCAATATGAAGCTTTCCAAAGCTCAGCACACACCTATTTCACATTGCTCCATCTACAATCTGAAGGCCTGTAAGGAGGCAAACTTACCAGTGCCAAGAAGATGACACTATCACAATTGGTGATAAAAAAAGTGAGGTAGGAAGTTATCTTCAGTATAAACAGTTAAACAGTCAAAATATGCATTTGATTAACAGGAAACAAAGAAAATGTGACTCAGCGTAGGGAAAATAAAGCTCTCTTTAAATAAGGCACTCTAGCTGTTTTCCATCACAAGGGCCAAAATCAGACCCTTTCAAAGGGAGTAGCCACCTCTCAGAGCCCCATCTTTACCTGCAAATTGCTGCTTTAGAACGTTCAGAGCTAAGGAGCAAGCGGTACAGAAGCAGACCTCCAGGCAAGCAAGCATTGCCTCCACGTTTTCAGCTACAGAATTAATGCCTGCAATAATAACAACTCTCCAACTCCTGCTTTCATGAGTGCCTCAACCTTCACAGTTCATAGGGAAATCAGAGGTGACCAGGGTGCTGCCCTTCTCCTAACCACTCTTTTAAGAAACTACCTGGTCAAGTACACAATAAAGTTCCTATATCAGCCACAGCAAAATTTATAACAGTTTGATTTACAGAGCAAAATGGGATTGTATACTAGACCCACCAAAGAAGTTACCACAACAAAAACAAAGCCAGAGTAGTAAGGAGTTCCGCAGGTCCCTCAGGAACACAGCAACTTCTACCAAACCAAAATCCAAAGAAAACCTCCCCAGTATCAATATATGCCATTCCAGTTCATGCCGAGAGAAAAATTTATCTGAAAAAGAACACAGTAGAACTGACTTACTTGTCTAGAATGAAATACAAATCAAATCCTCCATAACAGGCAGGACCACCGTTCTCTCTTTTTCCACCTTGTCCATCACAGGCTAGCATAAAAGTTGCTAGGAAGAGCCATTTGAAGCCAAATCTCAAGATGCTCTGCATTGCAATGGCCATTATATCCAGAGAGGAGGAGAAAAAGAAATCTCTTCTTCCAAGGCTCCTTTATTTCACAGGTTTCTCCACAAAAGCCATCCAATGACCTTTAAATGCGTATGTATATATATTTTATTCCTTAGAACTCCACTTGCAACAGCTGTCCTCAGGAATTGCAAGACTTTCCCCCTTGTTTCCCTTGCACTTCTGTTTCTTGGTTTCAGATTTCAAGATGCACAATACTGTATTTCACTTTTTTTTTTTAAAGGGACTTGACCCTCAGTCTCACTTGCAGCTCTCTGAAAGCAGCACCATTGTTTTGCAGGAGAAGGAGCAGCCTCCTAACAAATCTTGCTTTGTCACGGACTTCAGAAAATACAGGGAGGGTTTCAGATTCCTCCCCCCCTCCCCCTTAATTATTATTGTTATTATTAAGGATGGTAAGTTTTATTTTTCCTTTGCAAAAAAAGCTCAGAGAATGCCACCTTGTGGGGAAAACTCAAGCTGACTGGAGTCTCTGGTTTTAGACATACCATTCATGCACCAAGCACACTAAACACAGACCACAGCAGCTTTAGGTACGAACATAGAAGTGATTTGCTTACAGCAGTCACAGAGCACTGTGGAGAAACATCTCTGTTTCCCACATAGGCAACACCTGAGTTTAAAGACCTTTAAAAACCCAGAGTAGCTTCACAAAACTTAAAGTGACAAGCTACACCAGGTTTCATATTTTCCTAGTCTTGAGAAGTATCAAGCAATGTCTGTACCTATGAAACAGGCTTCCCCCTCTTACCACCCTTAGCAAACTCATCTCAGCCACTAGAACCTAAACCTTCCCTCTTCCAAAAAAACTTGCTGGAAAACGTAACTTCAACTACACTTACACTTTCTATCTCCTTCTGTAAACAGCACTACAAGCATTAAAACCTGGACAGAACAGCTCAAAAGCAAGAGCATTCCCCAGTCAGAACAGCCCCTATACCAGCAAAAGCTAAACTAGAGATCCAAGGAGCAGGGGCTGCCAGCCTTCCCCCTCAAATCCTCTCCGGCTACAGCCACACACCTGTTCTCCCAGCACTAACTGCTTGTTAGCAGAGCAGCTTCAGGTGTGGCATCAAGCATGGGGGGACCAGGCCAGGTTTCTGACAAGGGATGCAAGTGCACTTGAGTCAGGCTTTCAAGCTGTTCTTCATTGCTTAAGGAGTTGAATTTGTCTTTAAAACCTCTTAGCAAAAGCAAACAATCTGAGGAAAGACCAGGAAAAGCAGCAGGATAGGTTTCAAGGGAAAAGGACAAACAGTATAACAGACTTTTGACAGAATTGGAAACATCAGGATTACGGATTAGTCATGCACCTTGCTGCATTGATGATTAAAACTTTGGGAGTGTTATCCCTCCCACACCTGGCTATGCTCAGCTCCATTGCCTAATGGGGATAATACAAGGACATGGGCAAATGGTACATCCATGCTGCCAAATCCTGATCAGACCTGAATGAAGTGGAGATCCCTTGGAAGTGAAAGCTTCTCTAGGGCTAGACAGGAGCAGAATCAGGTGTTTTGTAGATGGATATTTTGGGTTTCCATACCTAAACTCAAGGGGAGCTGGGAGTGTGGGTGTGAGACTTTCGATTTATCTCTTAGTCTGAAAGGAGAGTAGTAACGCTGCTTGTTACTGCACAGACAAAAGACCTATGTCAGGGTATCAGGCCTTCTACAACAAACAGAAACAAGGCACAGTGTCCGAAACATGCGTAAGAGCCTTTTGCTGAGATAGCCGTGGTGCTGCCCAAGCTGAGGGGTAGCACCTGCACCAGCCCTGGGCAGGCAAAATGTGAGGGCAGGTGCTCCTTCTGGAGAGTTGTGAAAAAGAGGCGGAGCTGCCACCCACTTGGTTTGCATATCTGAGTGATCTGGTCGCTTAAATCCTGTGAGGTGAGACTGCTGGCAGATACTAAACTGCAAAGCTGTAGCTCCTTTAGCCAGCATGGGTGTGCTACATAAGCAGGTAGCATTTGAGGATTTTAAAGTTTCACATGAATGCTCTGGAACAAGTCTGTTTATTGTTATGAAACTCAAATTGCACAAATTATGGGGTTATGTATAGAGAGTCTTGTGTATGTATGTGAACATTGTACTACCCTAAGGAAGGGGATGAGACTAGTTCATGGATTCTTTTTTTTGTTTTTTAAAAGATAATGAGCTGAATAGAGGATGTGAAAATGAGAAGGGTAAAAGAAAAGCTTCATCTCTAGGGATAGGTGTGCTGTTGTTGAGAAAACTTGGAGGGCCAGCTTCTGATCTGAAGTACAGCTAGGGCTCCTGCTACAGTCAGGTAAAGTATCTTGTTGTCACTAGCTTATGACCTGTCTCTGCCTAAAGATTAAAAGCAGACTGATAATTTCTTGTTTCTGACTGGCTCCGAGATGAACAAATATGTAAGGCTTTTAAAAAAAAAAAAAAAACAAACAAACCCAACCCTGCACCTCAGGAAAATAACTTGGGCCTGAAGCTGGCAGAGGGAAAGGAGGGGGAATGGAGATCAGATTCTCTGTGTAGCTGTGGGTTCAGGCTGACAGGCGGCCTGGGAAAGTTTGGGGAAAAGCCAAGGAATGAGGCATCAGATGAAGCTTAGAGCACTCTGAGAAAGAGGGAGCTGCTGACAAAGTGAAACACCATGCTTTCCTCAGGGCTAGTCCTCTTCATATGCCTATCTTAAGAGTGTGTCTTTGTTTATGATCTGCTAATAGCAGCATCAACACTCTGAGAAAAGCAGTTCCATAATAGGCAGCTCATGTGAGACACGGGAGGGGATGCTGGAATTTCTGTCTGTCCCTCCCTCGCTAAAAATGTTAGAAACAAAAATATTATGAAGACTATAGCTTTGTGTGAAAGACCTAACAGTTCTTGGAGAGACTGACTGTGTTGCATTCTTTGTGTGAAAGAGACAAGAAGTAAGGTGTTTTAATTGCATACAGCAGTTCAATGGTTAATTAAGCTCCAACTGATGCCCTTGGTGTGTGAATAGAATTTGCATCTATAAATGACAGGAGAAGTGGCATCAGCAGTTTTTTTGTTTTATCATCTACTCCCTTGTATGTATCTACGGGACCTTTTCTGAAACTCACAGCTTGGAAGAAGCCGGTTCTGTCAGCTTGCGGTAACAGTGCTGCTGCTGCTCGGTGAGACACAGCACGACAGCGTCGTGTGGGCTTTGCGAGCGCTGCCTTGGGTGTCTTTGGGAGCAGTTCCTTCTGGCTCACAATGGCTGACTGGTGTGGTGGATAATGGCTTCTGTCAAGATCTCAAACTCGCATTTCCTAGTTTTCATGGCACTTCAGAAAGCTGTCACAGCAGTCTGCGTGGATAACTGAGATGTAATGAATTGCCTACGCTGACCAGTAGTATTATTGCAAATGTATCATCATGATACAGGAACTACTTCCCTGTCTTCAGTGTAGACATGTCCTGAAGTTCACTGGCCGTATTTTCAGACGGTGTAATTCAGCACAGCCCTGCTACAATCAGCAGAGCTACACTGTCTTACGTGGTGTAGGCCGACAGGCTTCTCGGGCAGGAGTTGTGTGCCTTTACATGTCGGTTGCCCCACGTAACTCCAGGCTGACACCCAGTGGCCAAGAAGGGCTTTTTTCTTCTCTGGGTTGCTCTGATTTTTCAAGGGATCAGTAACTCGTCCCTTGCTCTTACCTGACTTTGCCCTGCTTTGATTTTATTTGCCTCTGTTGCAACATGTAAGGCTGTATCGCATTATTTTTCTGGTGATTAGAGTTTGTTCCGCTATTTTTTAGCAAGGGCTGCTGACTCTGCATATGTATGTAACCTCTTCCTGTATTAGCCTGTATTAGGCTGAGTATACAGATGAAAATATATTGCTTGTAATGTATTAAATAAAATAGGAGAAAATATGGGAATATAGGGAATAATTCTGCCATAATCTAAAAAGGCCATGCAGTTGATTTCCAAGTCTTGTTTTTAATTTCTGCCTAAACCTGCCTAGGAGCAGGGGGTGCAGTCAGTTGAGCTGTTGTCCCCTTTGGTTAGTGCTGTAGGAAATAGGGTTGTGTAGTAGAGCTATGCACTTCTCGACAGCCTTCCCTCCTCTGCTCAGTGTTGCATGTATATTGCTTTTGTTTGCCTTTACTTTAACCACTTCCAAGCAATTTGCCAGGGCTAGAGCATCCTTGCAGCACCTCTGCAAGTGTTTGGGTTTTTTACTTATAGCTGGGCAAAATTCAGTCTGGTCTACTCAAAGGGGTGTCTATCATTAGTGGTATCTTTCTCGGTAGCTGAGTTTAGGCAAAGATGATCAGCCTGGTTCCCGCTGATCCTGAGTTTGGAGTAAACTTTGAGGAAATCATTAGGGGCTTCTGGCTTTCAGCTTTTCTGAAAATTGGGTGGCTCAGCTTGAGCTCTCTTCTTAAATGAAAGCACTCTTCTAAGAACCTGAGTTTAAGTGTCTGAATGTTCTAATGCCCAAGGCCAAACCGCAGCACAGGTGTCTGGATTCAGTCCCCTGTGACTCAGGAATGCAAACTCAGTATTCTCCTTAGGAGTCTGTTCAACTTGATCAGATATTTAGACAGCAGTAATTAACCCCTTGGAGACATTAAGGTGCATGAATCCTGAAACTATTAAGTCTAAGGTAACAATGATAATCTAGAAACATGCATTTAATTTTGAGCAAGTGAATATGCAGACAGCACTGATGAAGCACAGTTTGTTTGAATTACTATAAATTACTATTAGGATCTTCTGCAGTTTGGTTTCCACTGGTTCTAAGGCAAAAAGATAAGCACACATGCCCAGCAGGAGGGAGCAGAGCTGCACGGAATGAAAGATTCCGAGTTACTGACTACATTTCACATAATCCTACGGGATTTAAAAATAAATCCTACCACACTGCTGGATTTGCAGTGTCTGACTCACCCTTTTCAAAGTGCTGTAAGCATAGAGAATGTGACCACTTATCTATGAGGCAAGGCATTGTATCTTAACTGA